CTCGCAGCTGGTGCCGGTGCGGGCGCTCGGCCTGGGCCACAGCTCCGACGAGCTGGTGCGTTTCCGCTTCTGCAGCGGCTCCTGCCGCCGCGCACGCTCCCCGCACGACCTCAGCCTGGCCAACCTGTTGGGCGCCGGGGCCCTGCAGTCGCCCCCGGGCTCCCGGCCGGTCAGCCAGCCCTGCTGCCGCCCCACGCGCTACGAAGCAGTTTCCTTCATGGACGTCAACAGCACCTGGAGGACCGTGGACCGCCTCTCGGCCACTGCCTGCGGCTGCCTGGGCTGAGGGCTCTTTCCGGGGCTTTGCAGTCCGGACCCTAACCCGCGGAGCCTTCTGCCTGGGCCCCTCCCATAGGGTTCCACCAGCCGGGGGCCTCAGCCACAGATGGGGGCCTCAGGGCAGTGGCCCCAGCTGGGTGACTGATGGACACAAGCCCTGGAGAGATGGAGGGATGACCGACCAGAAGCCTCAGCGCTCCCTCGCCCTGCAGATCTCAGAGCCAAAGACACGAGACTTCAGCCATGGAGACCTTAGGAGTCCTCACAGACTCTGGCACCGGCCAGGCCTTGGACCCAGGACCTCTCTACTAGAGAACCCAGCAGTGACTGAGGCTCCAGCTCCGCCCAGATCCTGGGGTCACAAAATGTGGAGGAGACACATTGCAGTTGCCTGGCTAAACGTGTCTGCGCTGGAGCGCTGGCCTTGAACTCACTTGTGGACGCTGGACCTCTATTTATTATTTCTAAGTTATTTATTTACTTCTGTGGTTTGTCAGATCCTTTCCTGGGCAGTGGGGGATGAGAAGAAGCTGAATGGAGATCATGCCCTGATCATCTCACCCACACACTTGGGGCTGACTCAGCAGTCACAGCCCTAGCCTGTATCTCTTGCCCCCACCCAGCAGCTCTGGAATGGGAGGCATGGAACACAGGCGGGGTGGGTGTCGAAGGTGCCTTCACTAGTTCTGGCAGACCCGTTCCCAACCCCCTGCACAGTCCCCAGCACTTGGGGCTTGGGATTACCTGTGAGGAAAGAAACTACAGAGCCTATATAGGGAAAGCCCTAGCCATGTGACCCCCTAGCATCCTTGAGGTCCCTGTTTAGTGGGTAAAGAAGCAAAAGGCCACATATTGCCCCACCCCACTGTCATTGGTCAGTGCCATAGCATCCAGGGAACTGTCCTGAAGTCACTCTGACAGGTGCACACATGCCTACGCTTGCATATGGTCTATCATAGGGAGCTTGCTACCCATGTACCATGAAGCAACCCAGGGCACAAGAGCATCTGAAAAAAGACTGAGGGGTGGGATGCTGCACAGAGCTCCATGGAGGTAAGGCAGGAAAAGACTGATGGCCCCCGGGGGCGGGGAGGGGTTGGTTCTTCATTTTGGGTGATGAACAAAGATATTCCTTTTTTCATTCAGCAAATATATATTAAGCACCTATTATATGTCAGATATGAGTAGACACCTAGGATACAGATGTGAAAGGGACATGACCCCTGCCCTTGGGAAGCTTATACCAGGAGAGCCAGACAATAAGTAAGCAATTACATTTAATAATTACTTAAATTCAATTTGGCAAATGGTATGAAAAAAGGACAGGAAGATAAGATGTATACACCTTCACCTGGAAGGAAGGGAGGTTAGTGCTGATCCTGCCCTCTCACACCATCCCCAAGTCATCTCCTAAAGGTCAGTGCAATCCCCTGAGCTTTGCTGCATGTCCTGTGAAACCTTGTTTCCCAGGTCCTATGCATTTGTACTGGGGAGCCCTGCATGGCTGTTCTTCTTTGGAAATAAGATGAGGATGTTAATTGGGAAAGAATGCTAAGTCCAAGCAACTTGGGGCATCCAGAGGGGTTGTCGGGAAGCAGTGGCTATACTGGTCTGCATCTGTGCAGGGACATCTGGGTTGGAGGGCTGAGAGAGCTGTCAGCACAGAGCAGTACTTGCACCCGGGGGTGTATAGAGCACCAGGAGAGTGACACAGGGCCGAGGGTGGGATCCCTCAGGCCTTTAACACTGCTGACAGAAATGCCTTCCAATTGGCCTGCATGCCTGCCTGCTTTGGCACAGGTGCTCCCTTCACCAGGGCCAGAGCAAGGAGCTGGCAAAAGCTCTCTGAGGGCTGTGCCCATTCTAAGTCAAGGAGAAGAGATGTGTTTGTGCTCTCATCCTTCTGTATTCATTGTGCCCGTTCTAGGTGCTCCCAGAACTTTGGTGCTTTTGCTGCCTCCAGACAGCCCCTTAGCCCCGCTTTCTTCCTCCAAACCGATCCAGAATCCTGTTTCCACCTTCCCTCCCCCAAAGAAAATGGCACAGTGCTATACAGCGTACAGAAGGCTGCTTGCTGGCAGACAGGGACATTTCTTCAGTTCTGGGGTCATTGGGGCCAGACAGCCCCCTGCTGGTGAGGCTTTGAAGCCTAGCCTAGTCCCCAAAACTCTCCAGGCCCTGCCACTCAGTGGACATCACTGCTCTCAGAGCTACTTAAAGGAGACCAACTGAAGCCATCTCTGACAATGCTCACGGTGAGGGGTCAGATAGAAGCCCAAGCCAAAAGTGCTACTATTGACACTTCCTAAACTGCAGCTTCTTGAGGGAGTAGGACCCATCCCCAACTGGAGGCTGCATTCTGAGCCCCAGAGAGCTTGTGCCCAACATCTCACAAAGTCCTGGGTGAAGTTGCAACTGCTCCAAGAATACAACACATTCCCACAAGAACTAGCCTCAGTTTGCAATGTGGAACAACCCAAATCTCTAAAAACCAAACAAAAAACAAAATGCACAGCCTGAGCAACAACAACAATAACAAAAAAAATGTAATTAGCTAGGCACAGTGGTGTGTACCTGTAGTCCCAGTTATTGAGAGACTGAGGCAGGAAAATGACTTGAGTTCAAGAGTTCCACGCTGCAGTGAGGTGTGATCACCTGTGAATGGCCACTGCACTCCAACCTGAGCACCAGCAAGACCCCATCTTAAAAAAATAAAAATAAAGCCATCTTCTACAAAAGAAGTAGGCTACAGAGCTGTATCTCTGTGTATCCTGTAGCACTGTAACCTGTTATGTGACCACACCAGGCAGTGCTTTGTAGCTCTTGTGGCCACAGGTGGCTCTGGTATTGCCACCTGACTCTGATCTTTCCTTCACATTTACAAAACTATATTGCCCATTGAGTGGTCTTCCCAGAAATAAGGTATGGTGTCCTACAAAGAGATACCAAGTCACCACCTCTTACAGGACAGAAAACCATAGGAAGCTTTGAAGCAATTATTTTTCCAGCTCCAGGGAGCATCTAAAATTTCCCTTTAGAGTCATTTCAGTCAGGAATCCAGGTTCCATGTACTTCCCCTACCCACGGCTGCCTGGTTCAGCTGATACCCTTGTCAATAACTACCTTTTGTCCAAGGATCCCACTTTTTCCTTGACCCTGTGACACAGTGTGTGTGGACTGATGGACTGAGGTCTCACCTTGAAGAGGAGAGACTGGGTAGAAAGTTAAGATCAGAGAAAAGGTTTTGGAGAACTTGTGCCATGCATCCATGCCTTCCTTGTTCACAGGAGCGGTTCTCAACCTATTTTGGAACTGTGGAGTCCTTTGACAGTTTGATGAAAGCTATGGACCCTCTCTTTCCAAAAATACTGAAAAAAATCACTGATATGTAAATCTGGTAAATAATTTTAGGGGGGCCCATGGACTTTCTGAAGCTCATTAAGAGGCTCCCTTGAGTCCATGCCTCTCAACATATGATGCCCTATTCTAGATATTATTGCTAATGTCCTCCTGTAGCTAGATTAATTCCTCTATCTGTACTCAGAATTCTGTATCAAGCAGGGTTCTCTGTCTCAACTGTTTACCTTTCCCATTCTTCAACCTTTTTCTACCCAAAAGTCTCTTTTCCCTTTGTATTTTACTCAAATATATCCCATTATAGAAACATTGATACCATAGCTCTTGTGGCCACAGGTGGCTCTGGTATTGCCATTTCTGACTCTGGTCTTTCCTTCACATTTGCAAAATTATATTGTCCATTGAGTGCTCTTCCCAGAAATAAGGCATCCATCTGTCCTTCATTAAAAGTGCTCTTGCTGCCAGGTTTGTTGGCTTAGCCTGTAATCCCGCGCCTTTGGGAGGCTGAGGTGAGTGGATTGCCTGAGCCCGCGGGTTCAAGACCCGCCTGGGCAGCAAGACCTCATCTCTACAATAAATCAAAAAATCAGCCGGGCATGCCTGTAATTCCGGCTACTTGGAAGGCTGAGGCGGAAGGATCGCCGGAGCCCAGCAGGTCGAGGCTGCGGTGGCCGGGAGCGGCCACTGCGCTCCAGGCTGGGCGACAGAGTGAGACTCCAACTCAAAAAAAAAAAGGTCCTCTTGCTGAAATAGCTCTAAAGGCCATTTCTCAGTCTTTAGTCTTTTGAACTCTTGGAAGGATTCAATTTTTCCAACCCTCCTTGTAAAGTTGTCTTCCTTTGACTTTCTTGCCCCCATGATCTGCAGGTTTTCCTTCCATTCCTCCAGCTACTTTTTCCTTGGGCTACTTTTTGTCCCTCTTCCTTTCATCTGTTCTCAGGCTACTTTTTGGTCCTCTTCCTTTCTCTGTTTCTCATCTGTTCCTCAGGGCTGACCTCAGCTTTGTCCTCTTCTCATTCTACTCTCTTCCCAAGCAACACTGTCTACTCCCATGGTTCCAGTTACTACCATCATGCTGGCCATGCTTACATCTTATCTCCAGCCTAGAACTCTCTCCAGAGCCCCAAGTCTGTAATTCCAATATTTCCACCTGCATATCCTCAGAGACCTCAAGCTTAACATATCTGTCCTGGATGTCTTCTGTCTGCTCCTTCAGGTCCTCTGTCCACACTTCTTCACCTGCTCTACTCACATCAATGAGCATCCCTTTCTCTAGCTTTCACACAGCCTCCAGTATTCCCTCCTCAGTGACACAAGCCACAAACTGGGGCAATATCCTAGACTTCTTGAACTTTGTCATGGCCTTTATCCACTGGTCACCACATCCTTAGAGCTTGCAGGTCTTTCTTGTATTCTCTATTCCCTAGTCCATTCTGTTAACGCCTTCCTGATTTTTTGGATGGTTTCTTGCTCATCCTCCTAACTAGTCTCTTTGTCTCCAGTCTCAACTCCCTCCAGTTATTCTCAATCCTACAGCCAGAGAAGTCACCATTCTCTTCGTATTAACTGGACACTGTCATACATTGGGCTAGTTGTGAGGATTCAGAGATCAGTGAGAAAAATGTTTCACCATCAAGGAAACTTTAGCTGGAGGAGGAAGTAGGGGTAAGGTTACCAGACTTATCCAATAAGAATACAGGACATCCAGTTAAATTTGAGTTTCAGATAAACAATAAATGCTTTTTAAAAAATAAGTTTCAGATGAAATAAATACTTTTCTGAAAAGTATGTATTTAGTGTTTATCTGATATTCAAATTTAAC